ATTGTCTCACGAATGTTACAGACAAAGCCAAAAACATCTGTCCCACATTATAGCCTTCCATCTGGGAAAATCCACATCCGTGATTTCTGCCGTCAGCTGTTTGTATCTGTCCGGACTCCGGCTGGTTTCATGGTATAAAGATCCACAGGCTGTCAGCTCTCGTGCTAAATAACAGGTGTGCTCGTTCATTTGTCAATTCTCTTCTAATAAACCAGAAGACTACTCATTTCCTTTTTTTTTTTTTAACCCTCACCTAAAATATTGATCAGTAATATTGATTGAGACAGCGTGTCCTCCCCAGAAAAACCACCAAGAAAGATCATATTTTTTGTTTTGGGAGGCATGGACAAACTACCTATTTTATCATTTAGGTTCAATGACTTGTTGGCTTGAGAAGTGTCTTAAAAGCAGCTGCTACAGCATAATTAACTTTCACTCTTTCAAAGTGCACAAATTAGATCAAAGTGTTAGAACAGAGACTACTCTCCACCAACTCAAATTCATACTCCAAAAAAAAATAGGGGGCAGCATATCTCAAAAAAGATCAAGCTCAGTTAGCTATGCATTTGCCGGTCAGAGAGCTCGGCGACCGTCAGGCCGTGATCAGGGGTAAATCGATCAGAGGCCGCCAGTCATTATATGTAAACTAACGAAGCATCAAAACGGCTCCCTGACACATCGCAGACGCCAGCCAGATACTAGCATGCCAAATATCTGGAGGAGTCGGCCGACTCGACATCCACATCCAGCAGGCATCTGCTTTTTCTCTGCAAAACACTTTTATTCACGTCCAGCTCTCTCTGTAGCACAGACAATCCCTGCTACCTGTGTGTGCTAATCCATTCTTTCATCCATATTCTCTGTCTTTATAATTGGTATCTTTATAATAACAAACAACAGCGTGTGTAGGTTCACCTATATATTGGCTGATCAGACCAATTTTGACACACAGGGGAAGACTAACAACAACACTACTACATAACTACAAATAACAGCAAAACTTACTTAATTTATTCCAAAAGAAATGTACTTTTAGTTAACCTTAACTCAACAAATATACTCAATATAATATAAATCTAACCCCCAAAATATCTAAGGAGAGAATAAAGCCACCCCATACAAGCGTAAGCAAGACATAACAAGCAGTGGTAGTGTCAAATTAGGCCACCTCCCCTATAAAGCTGCTCCTGCTCCAAGCGCCAATCCTTTAAGCCAGCAGACTTCCTGGATCCCTCCCGGGTGTGCCATCCAACACTGGTAAGCTCAGAAACAAATAGTTATACAAATAGATTGACAATCCAAAAGTAACTAATGGTAAATAAAAACAAATAAAGTATAATGTATGTGAAATGAACTAAGTGTCCTGTGAGTTATTTGTAACTAAATATTTGTAACAAATGTCTAATGTGTATGAAAAAAGTATATAAACTAATCCTAAAGAAAACAACTTAAGTGCATGAGGTTACCACTCTTAAACTGGTTGTGAGGCCATGGCTGTAGCCATCACAGGGCCATAACAGGCCACAGGAAGTGCTCAAGAAAGTAAACTGAATTGAACGAAGCCAGAGTCTGCAATGCACATGAAAGATCACGGAGAAAATTTATGCGAAAGTAGAACTATTTGCAGGAAAACATAATGAGCAGGCACAGAAAGAACAGAGAAAGCAGGAACAGAGAATCAGAACAGCCAGCTAAGGGCAACAGTGACTGGAAAAGGGATGAAAAAGAGGAGAAAAAGAAAATAAGAGATGAGTAGGAGAGAGCTGAATGGAGGAAGCCGTAACGTAGTGCTGGGATTAAGCCTTTCAGCAGTCTTGACGTTGACAATCGCCTATTTACTCTGACAGCATGGTGCAATGTTGGAGGGTTCAGACCAGGTCAGTCACAAACATATAGGAGATTCTTGACTCTGACGACACTTTGGCAAAGAGACCAATGGAAAGGAAGCCCAAAATATTCAAACCATGTGTTAAGCCAGATATTGGCTGTAGATAAAATCCACAGTTCTCCCATTAGTTACTACTTACGTTGCAATCTAACAGTTTAAATTATGCTCAAACTTCATAAAATGATGATATTATCATCAATTATCATGCATCTTCCCTGCTGTGAAAACTTATTGGCATCAGACTGTAGGTTTAGATTGTGAAACCAGGTTTGGTAATGCTGTAGAATAACAGAAACATTATGTATAATTGGCTACATGAAAATAAGTATAAAGAGGTTCTTTTTTCGATTTACAGCTAATTAATACAACATATCATTCGCTGCAAGCTTCATTGGATTGAACCACGAGTATGCAGCTCAGAGAGAAAACAACTGGGATAAAGGTAAAGAGGCACTGCAATAGCAGAGGTAGCTATGTCAGAGGGATGTTTTTATATACAGTCTATGGATGTTACTGACCCTTTGAGGAGGAAAATCAAAGCATAAGTAGTAGACAAAGATGGAAGAAACTAAAAGGAAGAAGGCTGAGGTGGATAACAAAGTGTGTGACATGGTCATGGGAGACCGCTGTTTTTTCCCTAAAACTGGGAAAGATCTGGTGGGAGCCCTGGAGGTGCATGGGGATGGAGCCGGTTTGCTGCACTCACATGAACCCTGTAGTTCCAACAGACCTCAAAAGTACTTCTTGACAAACACAGTCAGCACTGGTTTCTTTCAATTATGACCTTAATTTTAACAAAGTAATTATTCTTTGACCACAATTGTTAAGTCAAGTCTTAACATTAACCAACAGATTTTTTGTACTACAATATACGCCAAGTAGTTGCTGTGTTTAAACCCACTTTAATCATAGCGGTGGCAGATCAGAAAAAGGCCATATATGAACAATTTTTTAAATGGTAATTTGTAAAGGTTTTGTAAGGCACTGACAAACAATGTTGCCCTACCAACTGGGCCACCAGATCAGAGAATCAAATGGGTTGATCCTTTGTTATCTCAGGCATACCACTTAATACAAAACACACTTAATAAGATCATTAAAAGGAATAATGACCAAGTGAGCAAATCAAAACGTATGTCTACTCTTATTGTTTGTAATGTACCATTTATCAGAGTCTGGGGTTCTTCTGCTTTTATATTTATATGGGTGCTCTATATGAAATTATGACTTCATGAAGCATAAACACCTGAAACATATTGTCCCACATAATATAAGAGGAATGGGAACTCCGCTGCATGCTCTATGAAAACATCTGCAAAACGGATTTCTTGACTTTAATTATTAGAGAAAAGGTGTTTTCTCGGGGTATATTTGTTTAATATTTTACCAAAATATGTGACTATTTCATACTTAAACTTCTACTCTTCTCGTTATTTTTATGTTTTACAGGTTTGTCCTGACCTATAAACTGCTTTTGGTGTAAAAAAACAAAAAACAAAAAAGAAATTAATAGAAACCCTCTCATAAAGGCTACACTTATGTTTCCCTGGGTTGAACCCTGGTTCCCGTAATTTAACATATGACTCATAAGGTGAGGCTGTACAAAGTGCAGAGAAAATGTACACGGCACATTTTGTTGATGTGGTGACAGGAGCTCTATTAAAAGGTGCAACAGCCAGATCTACAGTCTGGTCTACACATACAGTAAATCAATGGGGCTGCAAGTAAAGGTTATTATTGATTAATCTTCTTTTTATTTCCTACATTGCTTCATTTAGTCTAAAAAAAAAAAGTCCATCACTATTGCAGTCCAATGTGATGTCTGACCATCAGTCCAAAACCAAACAAATCTTCATTTAAAACAACACAATGATGGGTACAGCAACCTCCAGGCCCTGACCAATATAGGATAGGGCTTCCGTACATTATACGCTATAGCAAGATGAATTAAATTTGAGTTGAGGTGCATTCACACAGTAAAGGCCATAAATCATAAATGAGCTGACTGTTTAGACCATCATCTCATAATTAATCTGATAACAACACAAGGTGCACAAGAAGTCGGAGAGAAAGTAAAATATTTAAGGTAGTTGGGAAAAGTACAGACAAACAGCCCAGTCAGTCACAGTCAGGCTGAAGTTATTTTGATAATCACCAGCGGGACACACGCGCTATCCAACACACAGCACTGATCTAAAGTTAGTTCAGTGGTTCTCAAATTTGGGGGCGGCCCCCCTGAGGGGGTATAAAGCCACTTTATGGGAGTTAACTTGTTATGGCTTCTGAAGTATCGAGGACCGATTCTGACAGATTTATAAAAAAATAAATAAATACAGAAAAAAATAAATGCTCAATAAATAAATAAATAAACATCTGATAAAATGCACAACAAATACAGTAAAAAAATGAATGTAGGCAGTAATTAAATTATACAATGAGACATAAATGTATATATCTCTTTTAATTAGCTTCTTTATTTATTTACATTTGTAATAATTACCTTATTTATTCATTGTCCGTTATAATCTTCAACTTTATTTATTAATTACTTATTTTTTAATGTTTTTATTTATGTGTGTGTTTTAATATTTTTTTTACCATCGGGTCCGCAGCGTTTTCCAACAAACATCTTCTGATTCACCATTGTAATCTGGACGGGAGGCGGAAACATAGCAAAAGGCCTCCGTTTTTGTAACAAAAACAGAGAGAGAGAGGCAGTCAGCTGATTGAGTGGCACCGCTCTTTGCATCAACAAACTCACACTGAAGGATCAGTCTCTCTCTCTGCCTGATGCGCTGTGTCTATTAAACTCCGGTTGCAGGTGGCGTGTGAGTGAGATGAGCACAGCTGCGACAGTTTCACATGATCACTCCTGCCTGTTGCTCCACTTGTCTGGTTGCTGCTCAATTCTAATTGTAAATGATTATGTGGGCGCATTAAACTTTGGTGCTAGCTAGCTTTGAAAACCGCTCACACAGCGTAGTGAAACATTTTAGCTGCCTATGCTGTCCTCACTAAAAGTTGTTGCAGGCAACGTATTTTTCAGCTATACAGCTAGCTTAACATTATATTCTCCAGCATTGCATTCTCCAAGGAACAGGCAGTTGTTGTGTTTGGCAGGATTTAATGAAGGAAAATATGTAATTTTGTAAAACTGCAAAAAGGACACAAAGATACAAACATGTAAGTACCTTGTATGTACTAAATAATGTCTCTAGTACATTATTAGAGAAGGAATACTATCACAACAGGTACTGACTGTTACCAGGTACTGAAAGTAGGTATGTCAATCCAACAATACACTAACATCATCTACCAATATTCATAAATAATTTGACTACACTCAAAAACAAGAAATAATAACATCGCCATGATGTCCCCTGACTCAGCTTCTCTGTTATTGAGACGCTGGTGAGTTGAAGACGTGCCTGTTGGGGTATCCTCATCTTTCTGAGAGAAAAGCAGGACCACCTCAGAGATGGGTCTGGAGAATATCTTGACCGCCTGATTTCTTGTCACTTTGAATTCCACCTTTCTTACTAATCCATCTTTACTGGGAGTGGCTTTTACAATCATTCCCATTGGCCACTGGTTTCTTTTTGCCTGACTGTCCTTCATCAGAACTATGTCTCCTTCTTTTAGATTGGGTTTCTGTGATTGCCACTTCTGCCGACTCTGTAGTGTGCTTAGATATTCTCGCCGCCACCTAGCCCAGAAGGTCTCTGCCAATGCTTGAACTCTCTTCCACTGGTTCTTGAGCAAATCCCCTTTTGAGAAGTCACTGGCTGGAGAAAGAGATGCACCTGTTTTCATGGAAGGGGTTAGAATGAGGGGAGCCTCTGGGTCAGTGGATACAGGGATTAGCGGCCTGGCATTCACAATGGCACTGACCTCCGCCATAAGAGTGACTAGGACTTCATGGGTGAGCTTTGAAGGTCCAACTTGGAGGAGCATGGAATCCAGAATGCGACGTGCAACTCCGATCATGCGCTCCCAAGCGCCACCCATATGAGAGGAGTGGGGAGGGTTGAATACCCAGGTGCATTTTTGTTGAAGAAGGTAGTCTTCTATGCTTGAATCACCATGACCTTGTGAATCCATTTTCAGCTCCTTAAATGCTCCAACAAAATTGGACCCACAGTCTGACCGGAGCTGCTTAGCATAGCCTCTTATGGAAAAAAACCTCCTGAGGGCATTTATGAAGCTTGAGGAAGTCATGGTTTCGATTACCTCAATGTGAATGGCACGTATGGACATACATGTAAACAAAACTGCCCATCTTTTGTTCCTGGCTTGGCCACCCCTGGTACGATGCGCGATGACTTCCCACGGACCAAAGACATGAAGACCCACATAAAAAAATGGGGGGTCTGCCTGCAGGCGTTCAACAGGTAGATCAGACATTTGTTGTTGTTCCATTCTTCCTCGCAGCCTTTTGCATGTGACACACCTGTGGATGCAGCTGCTGATGAGACGTTTCCCTCCCACTATCCACAGACCACTGGCACGGATTGCACCTTCGGTGAAGTGTCTGCCCTGATGTTTCACACATTCATGATGATGTCGGACAAGCAAAGTTGCTATGTGGTGACGGCTTGGGATAATGAGAGGTTGGGCTTCATGCCTTTCAAGTTGTGCTTGGTCGATGCGTCCACCAATTCTCAGCATACCTTCACTGTAAATGATTGGCCAAAGTTTATGAAGCGGGCTGGTCTTGGGAAGGTGGAAGTTTGATTTAATGCATTTCAGTTCTTCTGAATAGCTCTCGTGTTGCACGCACTTTATGATGACATTCTCTGCTTTTGCAATGTCCGCAGCTGACAAACCATTATTGCACATGTGCCAGCCAACGCAACCTTGATCGCCTGATGAGATTGTGAAGCATTGAGCAATGTGGCAGAGGCGGGCCACAGCTTTGGTGAGTGAGCTCCAACTAGAAAATTTATCAAACCTTTTTGAACCCAGCTGGTCTTCAGTAATTTGTGTGATGAGGGATGTTACCTTGGAACGAATCTCAATATCAGACTCTGGATCTATGAGGTCATATGCCATCTGATCTTCAGTGTTGACTTCTGAACTTGCTGGCTTGGTTAGGAAAGCTGGTCCAGTCAGCCATGTAGATCCTGCAAGCTCAGCAGCTGGAATGGCCCGGGACCCATGATCTGCTGGGTTTAGTCCAGAGGGAACATAACTCCACTGCTCTGGCCGTGTTGACTGCCGAATACGTTGCACACGATTATTCAAGTAAACGTAAAATCTTCTTGTCTCATTGTGTATGTATCCCAACACAACTCGGCTGTCGGTGTAGAATTTAACTGCATTCACTTTCAGATCAATCTCTCTGACGACTAGCTCTGCAATCTCGACCGCCAATACAGCTGCACACAACTCTAACCTGGGGATTGTCAGCTCAGGCTGGGGAGCTAGTTTGGATTTACCAAAGACAAAGCCTATCTCACTGTGACCATGCTCACTTGTAACCTTCAGGTAAGCCACTGCTGATATTGCTTTGACAGAGGCATCAGAAAAGACACACAGTTCTGCGTGCTGTGCCTCTGAAGTGGGGAAAGTTGCATATGTGCGTGGGATATGTACCTCTTTTAGTGCTTTTAGAGATTCATGCCATGCCATCTTCTCCAGTCTTCAAATTTGGCCTCAGGAAGACATGTATCCCACTCTGTATCTTCGGTCGAAAACTCTCTCAGGAGCAGTCTGCCTTCAATGGTGACAGGAGCCAAGAAACCCAGAGGATCAAACAGACTGTTAACGGTTGACAGGACGCCTCTACGTGTGAATGGCTTTTGACTCTCAGGGACATGAAAAGTGAAGGTGTCGGACATAATGTTCCAGCTGACCCCAAGGCTACGTTGCATGGGTAAGTCGTCTTCAGAGAGGTTGAGATCTTTGATGTCGCTTGCTCTTTCCTCAGCAGGAAATGCATCCATCACTCCTGTTCGATTTGAGGCTATCTTGTGCAGCACTATGTTTGACTCTGCCAACATTTGCTGTGTCCGACGCAGAACATCAATGGCCTCAGCTTCGGTTGTGAACGATCGAAGACCATCATCCACGTAAAAATCTCTCTCAATAAAGTGTCTCGTATCGCTCCCATACTCACTCTCTTGGTGTTTTGCTGCCCTCCTAAGGCCAAAGATTGCTACTGCAGGTGATGGGCTGTTCCCAAAAACATGAACTTGCATGTGGTATTCCACCACTTCTTTGCTTAGGTCATTCTCTCGGTACCACAAGAACCGCAGAAAGTCTCTGCAGTCCTCACGCACCACAAAACAGTAGAACATTTGACGTATGTCTGCTGTCACCGCAACAGGTTCTCTTCTGAATCTGAGGAGCACTCCTATGAGGCTGTTGTTCAGGTCAGGCCCGGAAAGCAACACCTCATTCAGTGAGATTCCATCGTACTGTGCACTGGAATCAAACACCACACGAATCTGGTCTGTTTTTTGGGGGTGGTAAACCCCAAAGGTAGGGAGATACCAAGATTCCATTCCTTCTTTGAGTGGTGGTGCAAGCTCAGCATGTCCATTGTCCAGCATTTTTCCCATGAACTCAGTGAAGTGCACTTTCATTCCAGGCTTCTTGTCTAACATCCTTCGCAGTGATGGCTGAGAGCATAGTCTCTGTTGTTAGGGAGACGTCTGCGTGGTTGGCGAAAAGGGAGAGGAGCAACCCAGCTATTTGTGTCATCTTGGAAGAACTCCTGTTCCATGATCTGAAGGAAGGTTAGATCCTCAATGGAGTGGGCGAGCATGTTGTCATTCTCTGTTGTATGGAAGACCGTTCCTCCAAGATTATCTTTGTCTGACACAACTGATGCACTTTGAGTGGGTCTGTGCCGTGGAAGGTTCTTCCCATCACCTCCGACACTATAGCTCTCTTTCACTTGTATCTGATTCTCACATGGAGCAAGGCAAGTTGGTCTGCCATTGTCAAGGATCCAGGTCTTCATTGCACTCACTGTGTTTGGTTTGTGAGCTCCCCCAACGCATACATCACCTATGATGACCCACCCAAGATCTAGTTTTTGTGCATATGGTGCATTGTGAGGGCCATTGTACTGTTTACGAACCTTATGGGCCCTAATAGCGTCTCTTCCCAATAGCAGTAGGATGTCAGCAACTGGATCGAGGGTTGGGATCTTATTTGCTATCTGTCTTAGGTGATGATGGTGGTACGCAGCTTCTGGCGTAGGTATCTCTGCTCTATTGTTGGGAATTTCATTACACTCAATGAGTGTAGGTAGTTCGAAGTTTATTTTCCCATGCAAATATTCCACTGTGAATCCCTGGGCTCTTCTGCCAGCGGTTTCCATCATCCCTGCACAGGTTTTGAGTGTGTATGTCACTGCTGCTCCTTTGATGTTGAACATGTCAAAAAGCTCTGTTCTCGCCAATGACATGTTACTTTGGTCATCTAAAATGACGTACATTCTTCTCTGTAGCTTGCGATGCCCATTGGGGTATACATTAACAAGGCATATCTTCGAGCAGGATTTGCCTTTGAAGTCTTCACCACATACCTTGGTACACGTCGATGTGACATCTGGTTGCGCTGTGTCCTCTCTCTCCCCGCCATTCTCTGATGAAGGGGAAAAACCTGGATGTGACAGTGGAGCAGGACCAGGGTGAAGAGCAGAAAGATGTTTATCGCTGTCACACTCTATACATTTGATGAGAGTTTCACAGGCTTTTGCCTGGTGAGTAGTAGCGGAAACATATCTTGTTGTCTTTCAAGAATTTCTTTCTGCTGTCAAGGCTCATTTTCCTGAACCCTCTGCATTTCTTCAGGCTGTGGGGTTTGTTATGCAAGGGGCACAGTCTATCAGGATTTTCCAATTTGTTTGTCTTTTCTATTTTGGACGTTGTGTCTGATGATGATATGCTTGTTTTATGTACAGAGACGGGTTTTGTTGGACTGAACCTCTCTTTCCTGAATGAGGCTGCAGAGAGAGTGTGAAGGTTAAAACTGGGGTCATTGCTCTCTTCAGCTTCCCTGCAAATGAACTCTTTAAAGAAGCAGAAAGGAGGAAAGGCAACACCTTGTTCTCTTTTGTATTTGCACCCTTGAGACAACCACTTGTCTTGGGGATATAACGGCAGCTTCTCGACAATGGGCTGCACTCCCCTTGCTGTGTCAAGGTACGCCAGCCCTGGCAAGTACCCATCTTGCTTGGCAACAACCAATTCTGTCAGTAAGTCTGCTAGCTCTTGCAGTTATGAATCTTGGGGAAATTCTTTACTTTACTAAACAGGGCTCTCTCTATTGCTTCTGGAGATCCATATGTTTTGTTCAATCTCTCCCAAATCGCTTTTATACCAATGAGGGGTTGTCTGACATTTACAGCCCTAATTCTAAGTGCTTGCTCACTTGAATCCTTACCGAGCCATTTGATCAGCAAATCCATCTCTTCACTTGCTGTCATTTCAAGGTTTTCAATTGTGTTGAGGAAGGTCTCCCTCCAGGCTTGGTAGTGTTCAGGTAAGTCATCAATCTCCAGGTGCCTGGGCAAAGTGATGTAGGGCTTGGTCTGTGACATAGTCATCAGTTCTTTTTAGTGCACTCTCTCGAAGAGCAGAAAAGTTAAGTTCTTGCTCATGATTGGAACCATCCATATCCGCTGCTGCTGTCTCCAGCACTACAGCTTCTGCATGGGCAGCTTCGGCTTCTCGCTGTAGATTGATGTAATCAAGTCTGGCTTCCAGCTTAGCTTTCTCAACCTTGAGCCAGCCTGGTCTTGGCTGCCTCTGCTTTAGCACGGGCTCTCGCTGCCTCTAAGCTGACTCTGGAGCTTGTTGATGAGTGTGAAGAGCCTGATTTCTTGGAGCGATTGTGAGAGAGGATCGAACCTATTTCAACAGCATCTTGTGAGCCTTTTATTTTGACTTCAACTGTATCCTCCATGACAATAGATTGAAGTTTAGCTTGTCTATCATAAAATCCACGGTGGGTGGTCATCCTTTTACTATGCTGTCCTCACTAAAAGTTTTCAGCTATACAGCTAGCTTAACATTATATTCTCCAGCATTGCATTCTCCAAGGAAGTTGTTGTGTTTGGCAGGATTTAATGAAGGAAAATATGTAATTTTGTAAAACTGCAAAAAGGACACAAAGATACAAACATGTAAGTACCTTGTATGTACTAAATAATGTCTCTAGTACATTATTAGAGAAGGAATACTATCACAACAGGTACTGACTGT